TGCCCTCTAGCGACAATATCTATGCAAGTTTGATAAAAAAAAAAAAAAAACTAATTAATGAAAATTAAAAATGAAACCAATTTATTCATGAACCACAATACAAACAACACAATATACAGCTAAAAGGCAGTCGAGAAGTAGATGCATTGAGGTGCCAAGTGGGTCAAATATGGAGTCCTATATGAGAGAGGGAGATAAATCAAATTAGGTTTGTTGGGTCACTGTATCACTGATTTTATCACTCTCATCAATCAATATTCCTGCAGGCTATCCAGCTTTCTCTTCACTGAGTAGTATAAATACTGGAGTTTGAGTTATTAGTACAGAAATAACAAACCAAAATCTCTGCGGCCATGTATATAATGTAAAAAATGTAAAGATCAAAGGTATGATTTCTTCTACTTTTAAAAGTAAAGAGTCGTCATACACACTGTAAAAGCGATTTTTAAATAAAAAAGATTCTTTGAGTATGTTTTACATAATATTTTAGTCTTTCTAACTCAAAATGTTTAATTCAGTGTGTTACTTGCTGTTTCTGTCTAATTATTACTAGCAGTTTGAAAGTTGTTTGAATCTATACTTGATGTAACCGCCATATAATGACGGTTGTTCTTTCACCTTAATATGAAAGATTGCTGCTTTATTACACTGTCTATGAGTCACTGCATCACTGCGTTACTGTTCTAACACTCTACAATAATATTGACCGTTCCTAGGACAATGAAACAATCTATAATAAGCTGGTTATTATCAGCTGACTGTACATTATCCTGTATTATGTGGCTTTTGGTGTACCAAATAAATAATTAGTAAGCCAAGGCAACGTAACAGTGTGCATGACACATAAACAACAACCGACAATGAACTAGTTCCTGGTAACCAGGAGCTTAAGTATACACTGATAATGAACTAAAAGGCTAACAGGTGTATGATCAAATGAATTGCCATATTAAATAAAGAGAGTGGGAAACTAGAACAAAGGCTGATGATACACTGGGCAATTTTTTGAGCAATGTTGCCGTCAATGGGCAACCAGGTGAGACACAGGGCCCACGACCGATCTAAAATATCCAGATAGAAAATTGTTACCCATTCTCAATGGGAAAGTGCCCAAGCAACATTGCTCAAAAAAGTTGCCCCGTGTATCATCAGCCAAAGACAACAGGAAATGAAACAAAAAGGATTGTTTCCAGTCCATGACAATGAAAGCCATGAAGTCCATGATAATGAAAACTACATGAACAAAAGACTGACAGTTCCTGACAGTTTGCAATGTTTTTGAAAGAAATTAACACTTTTATTGATCAAAAACAATCTGTTTCAAATAAACACAGCTATTCATCAAAGAATCCTGAAATTAATGTATTACAGTTTCCACAAAATATTAAGCAGCACAACTGTTTTCATTAATAAGAATGTTTCTTGAGCAGCAAATCAGCATATTAGAATGATTTCTGAAGGATCATGTGACACTAAATACCGGAGTAATGATGTTGAAAATGTAGCTTTGCAATCACAGGACTACATTTTTAAAATATAAAAATATATTAAAATCGAAAACAGTTGTTTTACATTGTAATGATATTTCACAATATTACTGTTTTTAATTTTTAATTACTGTTTTATTGGATGCAGCATTTTTATCAGCTCTGTTAAACTCTGACCGTGTTTTCTCCCAATCAAAATCAATTTTCATATTCACCCTGAATGTAGCCTTAAGAGGAATCCATTCATCGCTATCAGTCTAGATCAGGGTCACAATCGGCTTGATAGTAGCTTTAGGGTTTCACCTAAGTAAATGATTTACTCAAATTTTACTCGGAAGTTCGTCTCACACACGCACAGCACACACACACACACCCACCCGTACACTTACACATACACACATGTATCTGCTCTACCTCTGTCGCCTTGTCACATAGCGAAGGTTCAGGCTGTCTCAGCACATTTCCACCACTTCTTTGACTGGCAGTAAACAAGTGACATAACCTCTAACTAGAGGACTCTGCAGCAAGGGTGGATGTCCTTACATACAGAGAGAGAAATAGACTCCAAGCCTTCTTTTGATCCTGTGTGTGGACAGCATGTAATAGGATGCACATGTTCAGTCTGGCTGAGTAACTGGCTCAATGCTAAACAGAAATGTACAGGGGTCTCAAATACTTCTGGGTGTCATGTTTAGATAGTCCTATTACTACTTCTCATACTTTAAACAAACAACTAATCTGAAGAATTAAAAGTTTTTTTTATACGGGTATGAATGATATCTCAAATTGAGAAGGTCATTGTGCTGTTAAAGTTATGCAATTTTAAAGTGATAGCTCACCAAAAATGATAAATTCTCTTCTTTCCTTGCTCTTATGTCAAACCTGTTTGAGTTTCTTTCATATGCAGAATACAATAGAAGATATTTTAAAAATGTGTTGGTTTTTGTCCATACAATGAAAGTCTTTCATTGTACTGAAAATAATCCCCACATTTTTCAAAATATGGTCTTTTGTGTTCTGCAAGAAGATAGAAATGCATACGGGAATGACACAAGTGTGGGTAAATGATGACCAAATTCTCATTTTGGGGCAAACTATTCCTTTAACTTGATTTCTTTCCCCCACTAATAGACAATACAACAGACAGAAAATCACAGATTTACATTGAAGAAGGGATTTAAGACACATCAACACTGTAATTTTTTTTAAAGACTATTTGGAGTATGTTTCACAAGAAAATACTATTTACATTTCACATTAATTCAGTGTGTTACTTGCCGATTTTTAGCAATTTACCAGCAATCAAAGCGAAAACTGTTTCTACACCAACAAACATCAGCGATCATAGTGCTAAAAACCACTCAGAACACTTAAAGCCATGATTTGCCAATTTTTAACCAGCTTTGCATTGTTACAATATTGACAGTATATTATGCGCACCCAAATATCCCTGTTTATTTGTCAGCAAAATTATGTATTTTTTTGTTGACGAATGAGCTCAGGGATTGGTTCGGATTTCCGCATTTTTGTTTCCCTTCCCACGGACAGTCAGATTGACAGTTGAGTGGCACCAAAATCAAAAGTGCATTATGGATGTTGAAATTTTTGGCAAAAGGCAATGCCACAGACGTTTTTCACTAGTCATGAGGGGTCTTTACACAGCTGAGTTAAGGCTGCTCTGTGCCTGCACAAAATTCAGTGTAAAGATGCAATGCTGGATAAAAGCCAGACTAAATTATGCCTGCTGTGACCCAACTCAGCCCATAGTATAAAAGTATACAGTTGAATTGCTGTATAAATAAGTTCTGTCATGAAACTCTAGATGGCGCAGACTGATGGTTCGTTAATGCAAACTGATGATATTCACAGTGTTAAACTACTTGCAAAAAGCTGATTGATTCATGTTGCATATGCTGCCAATGAGTTTACTGCTTTACATTTAAATGGTTGGTAAGCAGTTCGCAGCACGCTATCAGAGTTCCTCCGAAACCCTCCACCTTCCCCCAGCTCCACCTGTATAGATCTGCTATGGGTTATTGTATATGTTATTTGTGCAGCAGCAGTATGTCTTAAATACTCAGCACCGTATTAGCGTATGTATTGGCAGTAGCAAGTTCCTGTACTTGCTTTGCAGCAGCAGCAGCAATAATCTAAAACAACAGCAGCAGCAGCGTAGTAAATTTATTCCACCAAGACCAAATACATTAAACGGTCATATCAATTACCAGGCTAAAATCTTCCGAGAGTTGTCATGATAGAAATGCATTCATGCCACCTCTGAGCAGCATTAAACAGTCTAGCATTAAATGCCTAAACGCCATTTCAGAAGCACTCCTGTGTCATCTTTGCTGTCTTCGCTCTGCATCTTTGCTAAATTTGGCTATGCAACACCAAAAAAAAAGTGTTTCTACAGTGACAGCCAAGTTTTATTAAAAGCTCATCTTGCTAGCAGTGAATTACCCAAAAAAAACATTTGCATAAACACACCTCCAATCCTCCATAGCAGTTATAATTTGTGATTAGAATTCCACGCTCGCTCTGCCCGAACAGCTGAGGCCTCCTCTGGATCTATGTCATACAACATTAAAAAAGAGAAAAGTCAAAATCAAAGCCATTGTCATGGCAACTGCCGTTCCTGCCCACCAAAACAAACTCCCCACCCCCCACAGGTTCCACAGATCGATAGGATATTGTGAGGGTGGAACTAACCCAAAACAACCAGTAACCTACATACTAGTTATGCACCATAGCATATATGCCACATAAAGAGAAAGGGGCCGACAGACCATCCATCATCCACTGAAGAGGAGGAGGAGGAGGAAACAGAAGAAAGACAATTAAATTAAGGAAGAGTAGAGGGTTGAAAATAAAGAAAAGAGACGAAAATATAGAATACACACAGAGTAGAGGAAGATCAAATCTACCATCGGACAATAAAAGATGGCTTATTTGTTGGGGAATGGGCTGCATGCCCACATTTACCTGCTCTTCTTGCTGCTGGCTGCAGGGTCTCATGTGCAACCTGTCTATGGAGGTAAGATGACTTTCTTCTAGATGATAGATGCTTCGTTTGGACATCATGTCAGAAGTATTGGTTTTGAGGTATCCAGAACTCTGGGTTTCGAAAATATAGAATAGACACAGAGTAGAGGAAGATCAAATCTATGTAATCTATGCATGCCCACATTTACCTGCTCTTCTTGCTGCTGGCTGCAGGGTCTCATGTGCAACCTGTCTATGGAGGTAAGATGACTTTCTTCTAGATGATAGATGCTTCGTTTGGACATCATGTCAGAAGTATTGGTTTTGAGGTATCCAGAACTCTGGGTTTCATCTGTTGGGTGATAGAAATTGATGAGTCTGAAGTGAGAACTGAAGAGGAGGAGGAGGAGGAAACAGAAGAAAGACAATTAAATTAAGGAAGAGTAGAGGGTTGAATATAAAGAAAAGAGACGAAAATATAGAATACACACAGAGTAGAGGAAGATCAAATCTACCATCGGACAATAAAAGATGGCTTATTTGTTGGGGAATGGGCTGCATGCCCACATTTACCTGCTCTTCTTGCTGCTGGCTGCAGGGTCTCATGTGCAACCTGTCTATGGAGGTAAGATGACTTTCTTCTAGATGATAGATGCTTCGTTTGGACATCATGTCAGAAGTATTGGTTTTGAGGTATCCAGAACTCTGGGTTTCATCTGTTGGGTGATAGAAATTGATGAGTCTGAAGTGTGAAGTCTGCATTTTGCAAAGTTGCATGTTAAGAAATCAATAGATTTTAACATATCAGTTGAACTTCAATTCATCAAGGTTTTTTTCTTTGCAAAAAGCATGTTTTAGAATGAAAAAAAAATGTTTCATTCTAAAATGAAATTCATTTTCATTCTAAAATCTAATAATCGTGTCTGGTTTTAAAAGACAATTATATTGTTTTAATTTGATGACAAAAAAATGTATAATCAGCCTTTCCTTTTATTTCATTATTATGTTATGTATTTATTTACGGGTCTGTTTTATGATTCATAACGGCTTGTACTTTATGTGGTAACAAGTAATAGGAAACCAGGGTGTTATAAGTGGTTTGTTCACACGCACACCAACGCAGACAAAAGCACACACACAAGCAGCTCATGGCATTTCCCAGAACTTTGCAAAAGTTGTTTCAATGTACAGAGGAGTCCAAATGTCAGAGACTATATTGTAAATCTATGATTTTTATTTAGCAAGGATGCATTAAATTTATTACAGAAGATTTCTATTTCATATAAATGCTAAATGCTTTCTGTTAATCAAATAATACTAACAAAAAAGGTATCATGATTCCCACAAAAATATTAAGCAGCACAAGTGTTTTCAACATTGATAATAAGAAATGTTTCATGAGCACTAAACCAGCATATTAGAATGATTTCTGAAGGATCATGTGACACTGAAGACTGGAGTAATGATGCTGAAAATTCAGCTTTGCATCACAGTAATAAATTACATTTTAAAATATATTAAAATAGAAAACATTTTAACGTAATTTTAAACTGCACTGATATTTTATAAAAATACTGTTTTACAGTATTTTCTATTAAATAAATGCAGACACGTTGAGCATAAGAGACACCTTTCCAAAAAATAAAAATCATACAAACCCCAAACTTTTGAAGAGTAGTGTGTGTATATAATGTGGCTTAAAAATGTACCAACATTATTTATTTATTTATTTTTTAAAGATGTAGTCCATTCATGAATTTTGATCATCCAGGCTCTACAGTTGATCTATAAAAGGTCAACATACAAGCCATTAATGCCACATCGAACTGTGTAAAGTATTTAAGGTCAAAATGTCTATAATCAGACTCAGAAAACCAATACCAGTCAGGTTATGAGGCCTGCTACATTGTTGCAAAATTCAATGTTTCAATGTTTCAGTTTCAATGCTGGGCCATTTTTTAATGCACAAAACAGAGAAAGCATACTTATTCGTCAACAAGGCCTTCATGAAACTGCATTATAATGGATTAAACTACTCACCCATTGGTTGAGAAATACTACTGTTTCTTGAAGCAAGTTCCAGGCAGTGACAATGCACTCAACAGCACTTTCTATTCAACAATCTAGATGATTAGTCACTGGAAATTGATAAATACACTTCTTCCCCCTCGCTCTACAGGTTTGAGGGCAGAGGGACTGGTTGAAGGCACCACAGAAGTGATCAGTCACTCACAGGGGCTGGTGGCACGGCTGGAGTGCCTTCTGGTGCTGGGAAATAACAGTGACATTTCCCTACGTGTGGAAACAGTGGATGCGGATGAGGTCAAGGTTATGCAAGCCCACATGCTAGTGCTTTCACTGCAGAGCCGAGTGTTTGAGGAGATGCTGAGAAACCGCAATAGTAGCACGCTAGTGCTGCGAGAAACAGCAGAATGCACTGCCATGTTCGAGAAATTCATCAGGTGAGCATCATTGAATTTGGGAAACTGTTTATTTTTTAAGTTTTTAATTAATATTTTTTAAATATTAATTTGATTATTTTTATATTATTTTGTTATTTTTATTTGTAATATATTTTTATATTTTATATTCTTAATATATATAAAATATTTTTATATATTTAAAATATGTACAATATATGTTATGCTATTTTAAAGTAGAACACAAAAGGAGATATAATAAAATATGTTATTTAGGTCTAAACTAGAATTGCATAAACATTTACCACAGCACCACAAAACTTTTTTTGTTTTTTGAGAAAAAAAGAAGAAAAAAAAACTGCAGCGCTGTATCATCCCAACATGCTAGCCTAAAACATGTTGGGACATGACCAATTATGAGAACATTCCCATCCCACACATGTCCAAGACTCTCTCTAATGGCCAATGCTGGAACTGCAACGTTCCTGCTCTCAGCAGCTCAGACCCAAAAGGAGATAACATCTATGAAACAAAACAGCGATATTTAAAAATGAACTCTCTGCTCTAATCTAAGGCAGTTTTATAATGAGAAGGGCATAATAGGGTGACATTACAATAGTGATGTGTAGCTAGCGTGAGAAGATGTTCTGTTACAAGAGCACATGCTGCCTACTCATTTATTTTGAATGAACTGAAGTTTTTTTGTTTGGGGTTTTATTTCCTTTATAGCGATCCAAAGGATAAAACGACAAAGATACAATCGGAATTAAAAAAAAAAAAAGGAAAACAAGGCAAACAAGGCAGTGACAGCATTAACAACGGTAAACAACACAAGAAGATGCATTATTATAAAAAGAGATTTATATTTGCATATTATTTTATCAGGTAATAATCCTATTTGGCTCACAGAGATATTGGATGCCATATCTGAGACAACCTGTTAAATAGGCCTAGATCAGGGTTGCCAGGTTTTCACAAGAAAATCTGCCCAATCGCTACTCAAAACTAGCCCGGGGTAGGCAAGTTCGGTCCTAGAGAGCCGCAGTCCTGCAGAGTTCAGCTCCAACCCTAATCAGACACACCTGAACAAGCTAATCAATGTCTTCAGGATTACTAAGGCTATAGACAGGTGAGTTTTTTTTCAGGGTTGGAGCTGAACTCTGCAGGTCAGCGGCTCTCTAGGACCGAACTTGCCTACCCCTGAACTAGCCCAATCACGTTTCGAGGGGGTCCCCAGTTGGGAGTTCCCCCGCTAAAATTCGCATTCCAGGGGATAAATATCATGTTATTGGAGTCGCTTCAACCCACGGCAACAGTGTTAAAGTAGACCAATTCCGCGGGAAATCCGTGGACTTGGCAACACTGGCCTAGATATCAGGGTAGCAGGACATTTTGGCAATCATTCAGTTCATGAGCTGCTGAAATATGAATTGAATTAGACACACCCAACAGGAAGCTGAATTGGAATTCAAATCGGACTGACAGGAAGACAGACTGCAACTCATCCAACACAAGTGTATGTAGAGATAAGCGTAAGTAATTACATTCTTATTTTTGAATAATCATGCATATTTTATTCCTGGTATGTAGAACATACCATATTTTTACAAAACTAGTTTTTTTTTCTCAGTTAGGAATATTTCTCAAAACTACTTTCAAAATACAGCCAAAACGCTCACCACAATGTTGTCAGCTAACTTTAGAAAGTTCATTTAATAAATGTATTAAATATTTGGTTGTGAATATCACATTTTGTTTTCCATGAAGAAAAGGACATTTAAAAAAATCCAGCCAAATCAATACAGCCAAATGTTCACCACAATTTTGTCAGCTAACCTCATGAAAATAAAGTTAATTTAATATTAAATTGATAATCTTCTATGAATATGTTATTTGGTGATCCATGAAGGAATGGAAATGAAAGTTTTTTTAGATGACAAATAATTCTTTAAATTACAGCCAAAAACAAATAATACAATCAAAATGTTCACCATGTTTTTATCTAACTTCATAAAATAAAAAATAAATAATGAAAAAATAATAGTTAATTAATATAATTAATTTATTAATTATTAATTTCTTGAATATTCTGCAATGAATATCTCCTTTTGTGTTCCATGAACGAAAGGAAATGAAAGTTGTGTAAATAATGACAAATTTCTTAAAACTACAGTCAAAATGTTCTCCACAATGGTGTCAGCTATTTTTATAAAAAAAATTATGAAATACAATGAAGGTTTAAAAACGTATTACATACATGAAAGTAGTATATAATACATACTACTAAATTAATTACACAATAATATACATTTAAATAATAATAATAATAGAATAAAATGCAATTAAAAATCACAGTTAGGACACAGTTTGCTACCTTTAAACACAGGCAATGCACTGAAATTTTGTGTAAGATACACTGAATGAAGCTTGATGAACTCGTTGTCTTGTGTTTTGCAGATATCTGTATTGCGGTGAACTCGCACTGCAGTTAGACCAAGCCACACCACTGCACAGACTAGCTACCAAGTACGGCATCTCCAGCCTCCAGCAAGGACTAACCCAGTACATGAGTCAGAACCTGGCCAGCAATTCTCTGGGCGGTCACGTGGTGGGCTGGTACCGGTATGCCACTTCGGTTGGCGACACGGCGCTGAGAGACAACTGCCTTCAGTTTTTAGCGTGGAATCTGTCATCGGTGCTGCAGAGTGCAGAGTGGCCGTCGGTTAGTGTTGAATTGCTAACGACCCTCCTGCAGCGCTCCGATCTAGTATTAAAGAATGAGCTGGAATTGTTTGAGGCGCTTGAAATCTGGCTCACCCGGAACGACCCAGACACCCTGACAGCAGAGAACGCCCTTCGACTGGTGCGCTACGCCATGGTCCCTCCACGCGAACTGTTTCGCTTGCAGCGACAGTCGGCGATCATGACGCGCTACCACGAGTCAGTGCGCGATCTTCTCTACACGTCGTACCAGTTCCATTCAGCTTCACCGCTTCAGCTGGCCAAGTTCTTCGACGTGAACTGCAGCCTCTTCGTGCCCCGCAACTATCTCTCATCCATGTGGGGATCTCAGTGGGTCATAAGCAACCCGGCACGGGACGATCGCAGCACTAGTTTCCAGACCCAGTTGGGTCCGAGTGGTTTTGACTCTAGTAAGCAGGTGACATGGAACGCCCTGTTCTCGCCCCGCTGGCTCCCTCTCAGCATGCGGCCCATGTACACCGAGCAAGGTGCCATGCTGCCACCGCGGCCTGACGGAGGAAGCGGCATTGCCCGGCCTCGTGTCATCATCACACCTGCTACTTCCAGTGCAGATTTTGCAGGTGTCAGCTTCCAAAAGACTGTGCTCATCTTGACAAAGCAGAAGAACAAGCTTGTGGTGCGGCATATCTTGGGTTTCCACCAAAGCACAGAAGAGGTGGGGGATTTTCTGCTTGGCGAGGACTTGCAATATCGCACGTCTGAGTACCTGGTGGACGGATCGCTGTACTTGCACATCATTGTAAAGCCTATCTACCAGACTCTTATAGCAACCAAGAAATAATGTAACAAGTACACTGAAGTAGAATACATTTTAGATTTAGAAGGGCTAAAGTTTTATTGATGCATGGAAGAAAATGTTTAGGTCTAATGTGATTAACACTAATAAAGTGCATCTCCACTGTCCTTACTCTGGAAAAAAAAAAAAGTGTCGAAAAATGAAATGCCATAATCCACGTGTACAAAATTTAAGGGATAGTTCACACAGAAATTAAAATTCTGTCATAATTTACTCACCCTTGTGTCATTCCAAACGTTCTTTTTTCCATGGAACACAAAAGGAGATGTTTGGAGAAATGTTAACGCTGCTCTCTTTAATATAGCAAAAATGGATGGAGAACAGGACCTGTCAAGTTCTGAAAAGCACAAAAACACTACTAATACATCTTAAAAGTATCCACATGAGGCATGCACGACAAGTTTTCTAAATAATATTCTTGTGTGAAGAACAGACTGAAATTTAAGTTGAAAATTTTACCTTGTGGTCACCATTAACTGGCATTAAATGAAGAACAGCTTTGAAAATCTGCTATGAATATCTCCTTTTGTGTTCCATGAAGGAAAGGAAATAAAAGTTTTGTAAATTATGACACAATTTTAATTTTCGAGCAATTGTTGCTTTAATATAGACCTGTGACATACACTAGTGTCTCAGATATAAGAACTCATATCATAGGTATTTTTTCAGCTTGATTAGGCAGAAGCCCTTTTCATTTTAGGAAACTACTAATTTATGTGTAATCACCACAACATCCTTTGTCCACACTGGACTCAATGGACAAAGAAAGAGAAAGTGCACAGAATTGTTGAATTTAGCATATTATTGCATAAAGTACACTGTTAAAAATTTCCTGTAGAAATTACAGTAACTTACTGGCAGCAGTTCGCCAGTAACTTACTGTAAATTAAACTTACAGTAAAAGTACTGTATTAATAATTACAGTACCATTTAACTTGCTGTAAATGTATTTACAGTATGTATACTGTACTTTTAGTTTTTACTGTAAAATATACAGTAATTTTATGGTCTTTTCTTCAGGACCGTATTGAAATACAAGAAAACATTTTTTTATTTTTTTTTTATGAAAATAAGCAATGACAACTGTGTAACTTTTAATTTTTTTAATTGTTCAATTGTAATCCTTGCAATAACATTTTAATATTTTCACAGATTCAGTTAAGACTCAAACAAAACATTGTTA